ATAGACTGCAGCTTGGTTGTGAAGGATTCTGAAATTAAAGTAGTCTTACGGCCTGTGAATTTCTGCTGTCACTTAGGTTAAACGGCGTAATAATGAAGACGGATGTTAAGAGATAGCGTGTAATAACACTACGGAAGCATTGACGGATGTTAAGAGATAGCGAGTAATAACACTACAGAAGCAGTGACGGATGTTAAAGAGATAGCGAGTTAATAACCCATACAGAAGCAGTGACGGATGTTAAAGAGATGCGTGATAATAACACTTAACAGAAGCAGTGACGGATGTTAAGAGATAAGCGATGTAATAACCACTACTGGACAGGCACGTGACGGATGTTAAAAGAGATAGCGAGTAATAACACTACAGAAAGCAGTGACGGATGTTAAGAGGATAGCGTGTAATAACACTACGGAAGCAGGGACGGATGTTAAAGAGATAGAGTGTAATAACACTCGAAGCAGTGACGGATGTTAAGTGATAGCGAGTAAAAACACTACAGAAGCAGTGACGGATGTAAGATATAAGCGTGTAAGTAAAAACCACTCCAGAAGCAGTGAGGATGTTAAGAGATAGCGTGTATATAAACACTAACGGAAGCAGTGTCGGATGTTAAGAGATAGCGAGTAATAACATACAGAAGCAGTGACGGATGATTATTTAGAGATAGCGTGTAACAACACTACCGGAAGCAGTGACGGATGTTAGAGGATAGCGTGCACAACACTACGGAGCAGTGACGCGATGTTAAGAGATAGCGTTGTAACAAACATACGGAAGCAGTGACGGAGTTAAGAGATAGCGTGTAACAACACTACGGAAGCAGTGACGGATTTAAGAGATAGGTGTAACAACATACGGAAGCTGTGGGACGGTTGTTAGAGATAGCGTGTAACAACACTAACGGAAGCAGTGACGGATGTTAAGAGATAGCGTTGTAACAACCACTACGGAAGCAGGTGAGTTTTCTCTCCATCATGTTGATGGTTATCTAGTCCCTGTCCGTAGTCAGAATTTATCTAATTGATATAAAAGTTTAGAAAATCGACAAGTTGCAATCTATTAGAAATCTTGTTTTTGGAAAATTTCTCCAGCCTGTGGCTTCTTCAGTTTAATACACGAACTCAGACTGAGGACTGATTAGCTCCACTTCTCAGCTTCATCGTTCTTCTCTGTATTGGACTGACGAAACACTGGCTGGCGAAACGTTTCCAGAATAAAAATACCTAAATAATTGCACAGTGTTCTATTATACCAGAATTCAGAAAATTTTTGGCTAAGCCTGGTTGTTTCATAAGCCTATATAAGAATAATTTTCGCCATTTATTGTTTATATTTATTTGTACATGTCCTACTTTGGTAATTTATATATGTATATTCCATTCCTGTAGCTTTTAAAATAGGAAACCTGTACGTAAGTAGCCAAGAATAAAATGGTTGTATATCTATCCCATCTCCTAGATTTTAATAAACACATGTATCATAATTTTCATCATGAAATTATCTTATATTTTTTTTAGTATAAATGTGGCAGGGAGGTTGCATGGCAACTGAGATTAAAAATTACCGCCTCGTCTGAAATTCTAATGTGGGGGAGACCTAAAGCAATTGCAATTGGCTAGTTAGTTTAGGTAAGGTACGTCAGGGAAAAGGACAAGTGTTTCCCTGACCCGGACTCCTGGCTCATATTTCACCGGAGTTTTGAATTTGGACTGTACCAAGACTCCTGATGGAGAAAAGCGTGTGTGCTTGGTTTCCAAGTCAGTAGCAGTCCGCACAGAGGCGGCTGTGGGGTGTTATCAGGGTGTCTGCTAAAGGCCCCAAATTACTTATTTACTGTTTATTAGGCCTCCTGAGAATTTCCTCTTTTAGCCGAACCTTATCGTATTACGGAAGTTAATTTGCAGTGGTTAAACATATTATTATTAAATCATAAATATGTGCTAGACCCACAAGGAGTCACCGTTTAAATATAACCTCCTTTTGTATAACTGTATTGTGTAGTCACAAGTATGAATATAGTTTTTATATGATTATTTATAGTTACCCACCTCAGTGGACTTAGATATTCTTCAGAAACCACGAACATTTATACAGTAAAATATTTTTCACAGTTTTCTATTTTTTTTTTTTAAATTAATGAAACATAAAAAAATTAAGAAAAGTAAGCTTAATGTATTGCATATTTCGACAAGTTAGAACCGGTTTGAAGTATTTTTAGTAAAACTTCTTTAAAACCTTAAACTTGGATATAAGTTCAGTGACTCAGATGGAATTAGTAATAAAAAATATAGCTATGCTAATGCTCACATAATATTGTGCTTATCACTGAATTAAATTCTCGTGCTTATGTTTATCGTTACTAAGTACGTAATATTGCTTGTGTTATGTTGCTGCACATTATGATTTATGACTAAATTGATATTTGTTCCTATGCTATGTGTTCGAACATTATTTCTTGTCAATGCATAAATGAATGGTGAGCAGTGTTTTGAATATAAAAAGTTAAGTTACTCGCAGGTGACTGGTTTACCATTACTATTCTGATGTCGTTCCTAGGGAGTTTAAAATTAAAATTCTTTTACACAAGGAGATGCATCAGCACATAACAGAGATTTGAAGGAAGATGCTAGCGAAATATTTTATTTTTTTTTATTTTTGGTCCAATTTCAATTAAATTTTTACAATGAATTAAGCAACATTTGAAGCCTATACACTCTTTATAATGAACTTTTTGCCTTACTAGATTGGAAAGAATAAATAGTGCCCTATTCGATAGGGCATAAAACTCTCCCTTTTCTAGAAAATTGATAAGATGTACAATGATCTAGTTGACATCAGATGAAAGATAAGGGCGAGAATATCAATAGATTACATAATAAAAAATGTTAAAGTTCATTATTTTTTTAAGGATTTTTTTGGGGGAAAAAAATCAGTGAAAACAAAGCGGTTAAGAAATATGCAAATCCCCTTTACATGTTAGTAGAACCATTCATTACTCAATACCGTGGTGCAAAAAAACATGACACTCCTATAAATACTTTTCGGCAAAAATGGTAAAATAATGTCAGTAACTTATACCCGAGTTATACATATAGTATTACGTTTTCTGTAAAACTCTACGGTCATGGTACGCCACATGTCACTATGTTTTACACCTCGACACATGTTGACAACACACAGGCGACTGAGCTATTATCATCACTCCCTGCAATTTGAATGGAGTCTCTGAAAAGTTGAATGTAGTGTATTTAGAATGAAACAATCATAAAAATCGCAATTTTTGGAGAAAAAAAAGCAAATTGCCATCGGGTCCTTCTTTCTTATGTTCTTATGTTTTTATGTCTTTCTGATGAAAGTAAGGAAAAAAATTAAATTTTTGGAAAAACATACTTAGAAATATGATAGAAACAAGCTAATTACATCAACATGTTGCCCAGAATTTTGCACTTTTTTTGCATTTTTTCCCCATAATTTTTCAATTTCCTTTTTCATTACTCTTAAAAACATCTAGCTCCCTCCTGAAGGTTTATAAACTATAGCTGGAGACAGTAAGGGTAAGACATAACAACTACTGATATAAAATGGACAAGTTAGAATATAGCAATGATATTTTAAGGATGTTTGGAGTAGATTTTAAGAAGGTCGTGGATAGCGTCAGCAGAAGTGTGTAGTTACAGGAAAAGCGTACAGAGGGAAAGAAGACATTAGTGAATTGTATGAGGTAAAGAGAGTAGTATGAGAGAAGTTGCCATCTATGAGAGGTTTTTACAACGTAGAGGTGATTCAAGGAGGGCGGAATACTGTTTTATGGAGAGTGGTGAACGAATGTAAGAGAAGAGCATATAACAGAGTGAGTGAAGATACTATCAACAGATTATTGCTGAGAATAATAAAAAGTTTTGAGCCAGATTAATAAGTAAGAAAGCTAGGAACGAATGGATGGACAGTTAAAAAATAGGAGAGGAGAATTATTAGATGTAGGTTGGAAAGTAACCGGATGATGGAAGATTATTTTTCAGAACTATTTAAAATGATGATGACAATGAGGAAAAGCTGTGATTTCTTGCACTGGGCAGGGGGATAACATCTTGTTAGCGTGATTAAGAGCCATTGTGAGTGTATGGGAGGTGCGTGAGGCAGTGGGGAATAATGAAAGGAGGAAAAGCAAGCTGGGATGATGTAAAATAAAGACAGGAATGTTAGATGCGGAGGGGATCTTAGGTTTTTGGAAAGGAATGGTTGGTGCTTTAATTTAATAAATGTATGGAAAGAAGAGAAGGGTACATAGGGATTGGCAGGAAAATTCCTTTGGTTTAAGGCTAAGGGGGACAAAAAGATTGGAAAAATTATACAGGAATAGCCTGTTCAGAATGCCTCTTAGAGTGTATGGAAGAGTTATTATTGAAAGATTTAAAAGTAAGACGGAGAGCAGGATCGTAGATGAACAAGGAGGAGCTGTCAGGTGTAAATATTCATTTTCACTTCCCTTTGTACGATTTCACTGACATTTTTACCACAGAATCTAGGCATGTCAGAATATACTGTGTATTTTTTTCATCAAGATCGTTCAATAAATAAAGTCATAAAAAAATAAAATGTGAAAAATTGTATATGGCAACACTTAATTGAGGATTACATCAATATGGCAATATCGAAGTTATTTTTGGCAACATGAAATTATTAATGCCAAACAGATGATGTACTATGTACCAATCATGCAATATAATCTTTTATAGTACCCAAAAAAAATAATGAAGATTCCTTGACACGTGTTGGGACAATTTTTTGCATTTTACACCCATGGTATGCAAAAATGGTAAGGATTTTTATCAAAAGGTACATAGTTATAGAACAATGTTCCCTGAATAAATCCTGTAAAAATGATAAAGATCGGTTCAATAATAAGGGAGGAGTCCCCCTAAAATTGCAAAAAATGGACTTTCCAGAAAAATGGAGTAAGACATTGAGGCTTAGCTTACGGTGGGTAAAAATACTCCTTGTGCCTTCTTATGTTTATTAGGAGTAGAAATGAGCATTTATAACATATCTCTGAAGTTCCATGCAGATCCCTCCATCCTGAAGTCCCTTGCAGATTGGCCAATCATGACGGTCCATGCAAATCAAACTGGAAAAAAGGAAATACACACTAAACATCATATTACCAATGATTATGTACAAAATATATATGTAAATATACATATATACAATATTTATAAACATATACATACAAATAAACAACAAATTCACATAAATTATTTACCTTTGACGAAGAGTAGGTATGAACATGGGTCATCTAATGGCCTCCAGCCTCATAGGAGGTGTCCACCGCCCTCTTCCTCCTCTTGCATACTTAGGTTCTGACAGTCTGCATCTTCTTGTCCACTGCTAGCTTTGTTAAGGCATCAATGGCCACACCAATGCCAAAATTAGAATGATGGCCCTCGTGTGCCAGGTGCCGTCATACGTCACGTCAATGTCACGAACACCACGTGCGTCTGGTAAAATCCCACATTTGGCATATTCCTCACCAATGATTATCCTTGTTTCATCAAGAATTTTCCTGCAAGACTCAATGGATGTCCTTGTTATCATGCTTGTATATCTGCTGAATATTTCTAGACCCAGACTAGGTAGGTTACACAACGCATTTCTCCGAGAAAATAACGAGTAGTCACCACCAACCACCAGTTCAGCATAAACCATCCTACCCGTCAAAATATTCATCTTCTTACGTATACCATATGGCTTTTCCATAAAAATTATCTTACAGTCTTTACACGACATACTCACAAATGTTTCTAGGTGATGTTTATAATATGTAACTTCGATCTTTTTAGAAAACAAT